GTGCCTACATCTGAATTTCATGGGTTTCGGGGTCAGTCAAAACAGAATTGTAGGGCTGTGGAGGTCAGAGGCCACCGCTGTCAAAGGGTAGTGACCTGAACAGCAAGAGGTAGCCACTGTTCCCCAACCCCCTCAAATGACTTCATTCTAGTGAATACTTGGCTCATTGCACCTCCCCTGCAGAGCTTTTTTTCTGACCTGGTAATAAAAATCCTCCTGTGACCTGTCTTTTTTGTACATTATTATTGATTTTCTTTTGTTCCTGTTTCTCTATAGAATGACCAAATCTTGGTCCTTGATAATGTATTGGTTTGCATGTTCCCTGGGAAATGATAGAGGGACGGCTAGTCTGGGCGTGGGGAATGGTGTGGTGCCCGGCTTAGGAACTGCCTTCATTCAGCACACCAACATTTCCCAGGGCCCGTGGAACTCTCCAACCCCAGTAGGTTCTATGACCATGGTCAAGGTTGATTTAAAAACTGCAAAGCTGCTTAGGAGAGAGGATTGGGGGTGGGGGTGGGTTGGGGTGGGAAAAGAAGTAGGAAGGAGGAAGGAGGCAGTGTGCTGGAGTAGGAGCACAGACTCTGGAACAGGGTAGTTTTGTTTTCAAACCCCAGCTCTCCCACTTACCGTGTGACTTTGGCCAAAGCACCAAACTGCTCAGAGCCCACGTCTCTTCACCTGTAAACAGGTGTGATTATACCGTGGACATAGCCGGGAGGTGGTCAGACGTGGAGACGAGGTGCCTGCCACACAGAAGACCCCAAGGAGAGGAGCCTCTGGGGGTTCAGGCAGATCTATTTCAGAAAGGCGCCTCACGTCACTGAGAGTGAGGGGAAGAAAGTGGGTCACATTCTCATTTAAAGACTGTCTTTGGCCCTAACCGGTTTGGCTCAGTGGATAGAGCGTCGGCCTGCGGACCAAGGGGTCCCAGGTTCGATTCCGGTCAAGGGCATATACCTTGGTTGCGGGCACATCCCCAGTGGGGAGTGTGCAGGAGGCAGCTGATCGATGTTTCTCTCTCATCAATGTTTCTAACTCTCTATCTCTCTCCCTTCCTCTCTGTGAAAAAAATCAATAAAATATATATATATATATTAAAAAAAAAAGACTGTCTTCGAATTCGGCTCTGTTTTGCATTTTATCCTTCCTGAGAGGTGTAGCACTGGCCAGGACATTTTGGATACCATTCCTGGTGGGGGCGCAGTTTGGCGGTTCCTTGAGAATTCACTCTCCTAAACCCAGTGGCTTTCCCATCTACGGGGAGACTATTATAAATGCCAAGGATCAGCACTGCAGCTGGTTCTGCGGTTGCTTCTCTCACCCCTGCTGCCACGGTCAGACCTCATTATTTTTCATAATAGTTCTCCAACAACTGGTTTTAGCTCTTGAGGCATTTATGATGACAAAGGGAGGAATCAAACCGGGGAGCCCTATTTCTCCCGCCCACCACCTCTCTTCACCCACACCCCTTTCCTAGCAACAGCTCTTTGCTCAACTCTTGGGGCCCACGTCTTCCGTCCCACCTACACCAGCAGCAGCAAAGTATGGGGGTGAGAAGGCTGGGGCGGACTGAGGTGCAGGAGGAGGAATGGGGAGGAGAGAGCTTCAGGGAGGACGCTGATGAAGCACAAAAGGTTCTGACCTCCTCGGAAGAAGAGGAAACCACCAGGGCCGTGTCCAAGCTGGCGTAGTTTGGGAGGCTGCCAAGGAACTGAAGCAGAGAAGGGCCAGGTTAGAAAGTGGTAGGGAGGTGGGCTGGCCTGAAGGGCCCTCAAAACAGTGCAGTCGAGGGAAGGCTTCTCAGCTGCAGGGAACTGTCAACTGTGCGGGCCCAGATTTTCAACCTTTTTCATCTCATGGCACACAAATTAATTACTAAAATCCTGGGGAACACCAAAATAAAATATTTTTTTGCCAATCTGACAAAAAATATAGGTAGAATTTTGATTCACTTGTACTGGACGGCTATTGTCATTTTGTTTTTACAATCGAAGGGAAAAGAAGTCAGTGCCCCTGGCTAAACAGGTATTGCGTTTTAAAAACTTGAAGCACACCAGTTGGGAATCGCTGGGGTAGGTTACTGGGGATTGCCACTCTTCTCTACTCTGCAGACTGGAACCCTGTAAGAAAACTGGGTGCACGGTCAGGGAATAGCCATCTCTGGATCTTAATACTTCAAGGTGTAAGTCGTGTTTCTCAACTTTGGCTGCATGTAAGAATCTTCCCGGGAGCTTTAAAAAGCTACTGATGCCCTGGGGTCACTTCCAGGTCAATTATTTACTGTGGGTGGGACCTTGCACATCCAAGTTGACTGGGTGAATCTAACAGGCAGCCAGGGTTGAGAACCACTTAAGTCCAATCCTACTTGGAGCTGGAGTGCACCTCCTACACATCTTTGGTGGAACTGGGAATGAATCGCAGTTCTACCTCACTGTACAGGCACTAAGCAAATCCCCTTTTCCTTTAAACCCCCCAGTGGCGATTTGCACTCTGTGGGCTCTTGAATAGGTGTGAGCTCTATGCTTCAGGAGACCTACAGTAACCCTTCCCCACATAATAACAGGAGTGTTTATACTATTTCCTTCCAGGATTTTTTTTTTAATTTTGTGATTCTGCCTTTAAGAGATGCAAGACGTTGGGAAAAATAGTCTGTTTGTGCTCTTGTCCAGATTCACTTGGGTCATTTTGATTGATGTCACTTTAAAACAAATATTAAGGACGAATCTGGGAAAATGGGAAAATGGCAGAAGACTACTACCCAGATCTGTGCAGGGGAGGGTGGGGCTGGGCCTGCGGAAGGGGTAGAGAGTTGCTCCGTGATGGTGGTGCAGGTAAAGGGGCCGAGCTGATGGGCATGAACCCCAGGCTGTGTTTTGAGCACCAGCTGGTGGAGCCGTCGCCTCTGCTCCTGTGGCTGGCTTCCTGAGCTACTGCCCAGCTGCCAGTCGGTTCTTTGTTTTCCTTAAGCTGTCCACCCTCCTCACCCAGATCTGCCGGCCCGGGCCCATCAGCGCGCAGACTGTAATTGGGATGTCATAGTCATACAACATGCTTGCTTGAGGTCCAGAGTGGGGAGGTGACCCCTCCAAGGTCACATGGTGGTGAAGCCAAGGCTTCCTTTCAGTTCCTTCCACGATGTCAGTCCCGCTCCCCACTGAGGTTGGGCTTACTCACTGGCACAGTTTTGATTGGTCTGTGACTGGGCTGCAGGCTCAGAGGGGCCAGATTCCCTTTCTTTCCAGACCTGGGGTATATCAGAGGCCTGACAAAGGACACAGCAGGCTGGATGCCTCGGACGCCACAGGCCGGCAACGTGGGTGAGCCATCCTGGCTGCTGTTCACGACTCCAGCCAGTGTCAAGCTGGCAGAGTCCTTTTCAGAAAGTCCTAAAGAGCGGAGTGTCTCTCTACTGCCAACACTCCTCTGTTCTTCCTCTGACAAGTGACTGGCCCCACTCCCAGCCACCAACCTTGCCCATTCCCATTCTGGTGACGGGGTAAGAACCATCAGAGAGGGAGGGAAGGTGCATTTGAGTCAGGAGCTCGCAGCAGCTGTTGTCTTTTCCTAATCAGATCCTTGTCAGTTCTGAAATTGAAGGCTGAGAACAATTGGGAACATAGGCAGTATGCTCACCTCCCAAGAGACGGGTACCCTGTGGTCTGGAGAGAACGCCCAGGGCTCCCAGCGCTTGGCTGTGCTGTGAGGAGGAGGCACACATTGTCTCCCTTGCCAAGTTCTTGGAGTGACCACTTTGTTCTCTGGGATTGTGACTATTTTTTGCCTACACTTCCATGCATTTAACGAGCTTGTGGCTGCGACTTGTACTATATGGGTGTCGTTTATTATGTGCTGCTGCTACCTGGCTAAGAATTTGGCAATTGCTTTAGTTTTTTATGATTAGCAAGTCAAAAGTCAAACCTACTCCACCCCTTGATTTCTGGAGCACTAGCTTTGGGCTGTAAGAGCACGAAGGTCTGGGTATCCTTAGGTTTGTTTCGTACAGTGACTGAATCTGAAATTTCGTTCTTCCTCCTTCCTTTCCTCATATAAAGCCAACTAATGGATTGTGGCCAAAGATCCAATTACCTTCAGGGAGTGAAATCTAGCACCTACTTTCCTTTTGGCAGATCAACAGAGCTAAGTTTCTAAAGGGGATGCTATGTAAAATATATAATTTTAATCTTAAAATCATTTTCAGGTACAAATATGTTATGTAATAGCAAGTAAAAGCTTGGCTTTAAAAATAAATCTTTCAAAATGCAAATTGAGTTGTCAAATTCTCATGCCTTTTAGTTAACACATCCCTGCTGCCATTTCTGGAAATCTTTGGCTCTGACTCTCTCATACGCCGTAGACTTAAAGTTTGGGCAAAACATGTCATCATTTTGCCTGCCTATCCTCAGTCCTCGGCCCTAGAACCCAAATGCAGTGCTGGGGGAGAATTTGTTGATGCTTACTGAGTACTCAGTGATGTTGTATCTGTTCCAGAGTTTATTGCATCTAAAGCACTGCACTTGACGTATCTTTACACCCAGAGATCATTAACGCACAACGAACTAAGTGCCAGGGGACCAAGTCTTAATGATGCTGATGTTGAAGAACAATATTCCCTTTAAGGGCTGAAAGGCCCCTGCCCTTTGCTGACGTCAGTCATCATGCAAACTTAAGTCCTTGTATGTAGAATTGGTCCCCTACAAACCTCAATCAGGCTGCAGGCACTAAATTGTTGCCAAACAACTGCATACCAGGCCTACCCAAATTTTAATGATTGTTTTATGATGAGATGATGATGAACTGGATAAGCACGACCATTCGGGACCACTTAGTTTTGTTTTGCCCACTCTCACTCTAGTATTCAGAATGGTATTTATTTATATATGCGCGTGAGCGCGCACACACACACACACACACACACACACACACACACACACACACACACACACACACACACACACACACACACACAGTCATAGCAAATGCAAAATGAAAGCAGGTCATTTCAATACATTTTATTTGAGTGTGAAACCATTCATATCTTGCACAACTGTACAGATAAAACTATTTCCATTTTAGCTGTAGACATGATTATCACACAAAGTGGGTGTGATCAAAGATTTTATTTACAGAACAATTGCTAAAACATCCGATGTCATATTTCTATTTATTTCTTACCCATAGGGTAATAGGTCCACCATAATTGCTTGGTGCTTTTTATAATACAGAAAGAAAACCTATGTTAAGCTCTAACAAACTGCACAAATTGCTACAAATCTGACAGAAGAATGCCTACGAAAAAATTTTCCAAAAGTACAATACATTTTTATTTCCACACATACACAGTATAGTATAAGCTCAAAGGCACAGCTTTGAAATATTTTTTTCTATCAAAGTGTCGGAAATTATTTCGTCTTATGAAGGAACCGTGAAAGTCACTTGCACACTTGGTGCTCAGTAAGTTAATGTTTGGTCCATCCAGTTTCACAACGTTAATACAGCAGAATGTGATACTCAATGCTCCTCATCCACATCGCACAGAACTTTAGAAGCCCCTCCCTGCCTTTCGCTGACACTAGCCATTGTGCAAACTTAGGACAAATATTTGTACATAGAAGAATTGGTCCCCTACGAACGTCAGTCAACTTAAGGCATGCAGAACAGACCTCTTCCTTTCCTCTAGACAGTGCTTACGTTCTAATGCAGGTCCTGTGACAGGCACGAGTTGCCAGGTACCTGCATTTAGCCCTGATGCTCCTGGGAGCACCACCAGGCAGAAGGAATGCATTGAACATATCTGAGGGCTGTTCACTGTACAGTAAGATGTCAGACAGATAACAAGGTGAGTGCTCTTGGTAAATTATGTGCCCATCCAAGAACACAAACCAGATTCTGTCTCCAGTATCCATCCTTCAAGACTAAAGAGCTTTTGTCAACAGGAAAATAAGTAACTTATGGGGAGTGGTTGGCAACACAAAGCAAAGTCCTGGAACAAAGGGAAAAGGCACAGAGGGGCCTGAGATAGTGCTCTAAGAAAGTCAAGTCTGGCTTGGCTACAGGAACCCAATCTCACTGACTTTTAGTGGGTCCTGTTTCTGAACTAAAGTTTATTCATCCCAGCCTCACGTTCATTAGGAAAATGGATGCCTAGGAATGGTTTACAAGTTATAATGTATAGAGATAAAGTCTTCTGGGGGGGGAGTGGATGGGTTTATTATTATTATTAATACTTATTAATATTAAATATGGATTCCTATGAGAGCAGTCATTTAGCCCATCCTGTGGAGGCCTCTCCATTGATGTAAGCAAAGCCAGGAAAGTGTTGCATGTGTTCATACTCAGAATTCCTGCGGGTGGTCAGGGGTGTGTACATGTCACTAGAGTTTCCATACCTCGTGGAATGCACAGGCGGGCTTGTGTAGCACGTGTTGGCTGTGGGCACCTCTGGCCATCGGGGGGTGACTGCAGTAGGATGCAGTCTGGGAGTAGTGCTCATCAAACAAGGCTCCATCCGGGAAGTGGGGCTATTAAAAGGGTACTTGTTGAGGGGAAAGAAATTCCACAAAGTTAAAATTAGCTTGAAGTTACATATACACAATATTAGTCATGTTCACAGTTTGTTAAATTTCTTAAGATGCTATTAGTGCAAGTCAATGGGATGGAATCAGTGAACTTCTGAAAGATCAAACTGTGGTCTAGGTCTCCAACAGGAGAAATGCAAAAGATTTCTTAGCCAGTATTGGACTGGTGTTCACTCAACCAGTAATATAGACTTTGTGCTCAATCTGGAATGTCTTGGGAAGTCAAACCCCAAAGAAGGAATAGCCTTACTGGGAATATAGGAGTGATACAAGGGGGTGGGGGTGGAGAGAGAGAGAGAGAGAGAGAGAGAGAGAGAGAGAGAGAGAGAGAGAGAGAAGAGAGAGAGAGAGAAGAGAGAGAGAAACACGAGTAATAGCATGTCCAAGTAGATGTGGATGGGTGGCTGTGAGCTTTATCACTAGTTATGGAGATGTGATGGGTCCCACTCAATCAACCCAAGAGAACAGTACTGCCAAGTGAAATACAATGACATTATTAAAAATAGCACTTTACAGTTGAATTCAATTATGAACTGCAGCCTAAAAGCAGGCTTTTGAAGAGGAAGCAAGCAAGCTAACAGCTTCAAAGGTTATTATTAGTGCCTATCATTTGAAGAACATCTTTTTGGTCTCCAGTCACTGGAATCCTGGAAGAGACTCAAGCAGGAAGTGGCAATAATTGGGCTCGGTGTGTGTGAATGTGGAAGGAGCCAAGATGAGCCAACTGAGAGGGAGGGGAGGTGTGCTCTTGTGCAGGTCAGAAAAACAGGTGTAAGAAGAGGGGAAGCAGTTCTAGGAAGAATTAGAAATAAGAGATGTCTCTGAAGTGCTTCTTCTTTACCTTTTTTCCAGTTCCCAAGACAGCTATGCAAATAAGCCCTTCGGTACAATCAGAGGGGAGGCGCCTGGTTTGTGGGCCAGTCACCACAAAGATTTCCTTGCTGTGCTAAGGGCCACCCCAAGAGGGACAGGAGCCAGTCAACAAGGATGGCAAGGACTGCAAGTAGGGGAGAGAGTGTGTGAATTCTTCTGCTCCCCATCTGTCTTCCCTGACAGTTGGAGAGTGGAGCCCCGAGGGATTAGGTGGGAGGCTGCCTCCTGTGAGGGAGACAGACAGGCTGAAGCCTGGACAGCCGGGAGAAGGGGGCATGACAACAATGGCTGCTGCTGGTAGTCTCAGGGGCCAAAGGGACCGCTCTGCCTCTTTGAGTGGGAGCTCGAGGGGGGCAGGGGGAAGCTGATAGGCCCCAGGCATGCGAAGAGGACCAGCAATTCATCCTCGAGGAGAAGGGATCCTAGTAGAGAGGGTCTGTAGTACCCAGGACAGCGCGCCCTACAGAGCAAAGTGCAGCCACTCCACAGTCAAAAGAGCAGGTAGGAGGGAGGGAGAAGGGTATAGTGGTGTCTGGGAACTCACAGGAGACGGCACCAGGGCTGTTGCCAAGGTGACTACTGACAGCATACCACGGCTTTCATAATGCTGAAGTGCACCCCGGTCCCCGTGCGGGAGGGAGCCACATGTGCTGTCTGTGTGGCAGTGGGATTCCAGCCCAGGACCCACTTTAAAGCCCAGAGAGGCCATAGTAAGACTGGGCCCTGCTCAATAAAACAGGATCTCAGGTGTTAAACAGCTCATATTAAGAAATATTACAAAACAGTCTTTTGTTTTGTTTTTTCAAAAAGGTTGCTTGTTCCTCGTGATAGTCTGTCTTCACGATGCCCTCCTTGGCTCCTCCCTGTGGCATGCCTGGCTCGTGCCCATTCCAGAGAATTTTCTTCTGCCGTCTCCTCTGCCCACAATGTGCTTCACCACCCCTCCCTGCCCCCAGGCTCCTGTGCGTCTGCCTTGTGATCATTCTTCAGATCTCAGCTCAAATGTCACCTCCTCGGAGCGGCTTTTCTGGACATCCTAGCTCAAGAAGCTAAATGCTCCACCCTCCACCGCTCTGATCGGAATGTTGTCATTCTCAGCAGCTGCCTTTTTCTACTGGCGTAGAGTCACCCATAAGCTCCCGTAGGGCCTTCTCATGTCCGCCACCATATTCCCCACATCTAGAATCATGCCTGGCACCTAGCAGGTGCTAACTATCTGCTGAGTAATTTATTATTTGGTGGGATGTCACCACTAGATAGAACCTTAGGGATCCCATAATCCATCTCAGTGTCGTACAGATGAGGAAAGCAGTGCCCGAGGTGAAGCATCCTGCCCACAGTCACATCGCCAGCCAGTGGCAGAGCTGGTGTACAAACTAGGCCTGGGGCCCCGCGTCCCCCCACATCTGTCCGCCTGGCCCACAGCTGAATGACACCGAGAGGAAGAGCACTCCCTCGTGGACAAGCAGCCCACTGACCTTGACTTCTCCCCTGCAGACCACAGGGTCCAGCAGTTCTGACCAGGCCTCCGCTTGCTGGTTCTGACCATCTTTGCTGCCTCGGCTTGTGTGCGGACTTGGAGTCTCCTTCCCACGGAACCCGAGAGAGTGTGGCTTTTGTGCCCGATCAAGGACCCTCGATGCAGCTGTGCCCAGGGGTTGTGTCACAGACTCAAAAGAATAATTGCCTGGAAATGAGGCTGGCTCAAAATATCTCCAATGTGACAATAAAATCCTGTTACCACAGAATCCGGCTTGGAAAATTCTGTCCCGTTAGGTCAGCTAATTGCAAATGAGTCAGTGACTCGCTTTCCCGTGGTGAAGAGCCCATTGACGGGGAGAGGCTGCACCCGCTGCCGCCGCCTGGTCAGCAGCGCCACCAATGAGGCTTCTATGCAGTCGGCCCGTGGCACCCGCCTCACCTTTCACACTTCACATCCGGTTTCATGCCGGGTCCTCCAGCAGGCTGGGCACAAACCCTGGGTCCTGAGAGCTCGGCCCGGAATAAAGGCGCTTTTTGTTGAGGGCCCATAACAGGAAGTTACTATTTTCTGGCTCAGATCACAGGCTACTGTCCTTGATGTTAAAATGGAGCTAAGGCCCCAGTTCCTCCCTTGTGAGAGGTGTGTGAGGTGTGGCTGTGGGCACGTGTGTGTGTGAGTGCTTGTGTACATAAGCAGTCAAAGGTTCAGTCCCATGGCTGAGGCCTACGTCTGCCTCAGCTGTGCCTGCCTCTGGGCCTCTTTGGAACCATATTAGGACGTTCTATTTTGAGAAACGACTCCCCACACCAAGGGCTGACTTTCCTGCACATGGAGAGGGAAGAATGAGCCCTTTATCCCTGACCCTTACCAAATGGGCTGTTACTCGAGCCAGGGGTGAAAGGTGGCCCAGTCAGGAGCACAAACTGTTTTCCTATGAAAGGCAGCTCTCACCGCACGAGGCGCTGCCAGGGGCCCGCCCTGGCTTCCTCTCAGCCTCCTCTGGAAGAGGGCACAGCTCCCCCCAAATCTCTGCCAGACAGTCGTATCTGCTGAGCTTTTAGGGCCAGGATTAACTGAGTTAATTCGTGTGAAACACTTAGAACACCCATGTAGTGAGTGTGCAAAACGTGTTACCTATTATTAATATACTTCCTCGAATCATAACATCATGGTCCATTAATGACAGGGAGAGCCTCAGGCACTGACCATCTGGTCCTACTCCCCTCATTATCAGATGAGGGAAGTGAGGTCAAGAGAGGGGAAATGACCGGCTTGAGGTCACGCAGCAATTTAGTACCAGAGTAAGGATCTGATCATTCGCTCATTCATTCCTGAGTTCCCACTAAGGGGCAAGCCCGTGCTGGGGTCTGGGAACACCATGGTCAGAAAAGATGGACCTGGCCCTGCCTTCACAGAGCCAGTGCAGTGAGAGAGGCAGGTGCTAATTCTGTAATTACAAAAAAGTAGCCAAGGATCATAATAATATACACAAATAGTGCTAACTCTGAACCAGACCCTGTTCTACCTTTATTAACTCACTCAACCCTCACAACAGCCCTATGAAATAGGTACTCCAATGATCTCTAGTTTGCACATGAGGCACTGGTGCACAGAGCTCACTGGAGGCAGAGCTGGGGTGGGAACCCAGGAAGCCTGGCTCTGCAGTCAGGATCTTACGCCACGTTGGCTGACTCCTTTGTACTCCCTTTGGCCCAGGATGCTATCCCAAAGCAGAGCACCCTAAGCAAACTCTGTGGCAGTCACTGGGCCTCTGAGACTGAGCACCCACGGGCCCTGGGCTGACCTGTGTTGGGATGAAGGTTCTGTGAGAGCTGTGACTGGTGGGCAGGGCTGGGCCTTGGCCATCCAGATGGGAAGTAACGGACGGCTCTCCAGGCCACACTAAGTGTATTTCTAGTCACACCGCTTCTGGTTGGTCACATGGCTTTTGAGCTCAAGTTTACATTCCCAGTCTACATTCATGGCTGCAGAGAGGGTAGAGGTCCCATGAAGGTGAGTGGAGTGAGGCTCAGAAATATTTTGTAGCCGTGTATTGAGTCTGGTTTGTTCTCTCTTTTGGGCCGGGCATGAGAATGGGGACCTAGGAAGGCACAGTGACAAGATCCCTTGTTCACTTATTCTGATGTGAACAAGGACAGCATCCTTGCAACAGGGTGTTTTTCTGAAATAATTTAAACCTTACACTGTGAGGCCTCATTCCTCTGGACTCACTCCTTCAGAAATTATGAGAATTCAAGTATTCCTATTACCCAGAAAGCAAGCATGCGTTGTGCAAAGCAGCAGTATGAGCAAGGGCACACACATACTCTATTTCAAAAAACAAATTACTACAGATTGCTTTGCGCATATGAATGCTGGGATGTATACAATTATTACACGTCACAGGTGTACTGTACTGGCTCTTTAAGGCAAACCTGGCAGGAGTCATTTCCAGTTACTCTTGAGCTGACGACCAATGGCATTCTGTAACCATATTCCCTCATTGCAATTTTTCTTCAACTCAGATCTTTTCCCCAGTGAGTCTGATATACTGAAGTGTGATTTTCAGTACTCAGGGTTGGACCAGTTGGACCTCTGCTCTGGGAAGCTAAAACTAATTAGCCCTGGCCCTGGCTGGGTGGCTCATTGGTTGAGTGTTGTCCCATGTACCAAAAGGTCGCAGGTTCGATTCCCAGTCAGGGCATGTACTCAGGTTGTGGGTTCTCTCCCTGGTCAGGGTACATATGGGAGACAGCCAATCAATGTTTCTCTCTCACATTGTTGTTTTTTTCTCTCTCTCTCTGTTTTCCTCTCTAAAATCAATAAAAACATATTTTAAAAAAACATAAAACTAATTAGCCCTGCACTGGGTTTCCCCCATATGCTCAACCTTAATCCAAAGTAGCAGCAAAGGAAAGAAATAAGGTATCTTGGGTGTGTGATTTTTCTCTTTGGAAACTCGAAACTTACTGAGAATAGTTGCAGTAGCCACGAATTTACCTCCCACCCTCCAAGACACACAGTGTTCGGCTCTGGGGGCCTGAGAGTTGGAGAACTTGCATTGGGGTCTGCTTTGTCACTTCCTGGATGCCTGACCTGAGGCAAACTACCTTCTGAAGCTGTTTCCTCATCTTTAAAAACTGGAGAAAAGGCTGCTAGGATGATTAAGTGTATTTGAAAGTGCCTAAAACAGTGCTTGCTGCATAAATGTTAATGAAAAACAAAACAAAGGGTTGTCTTTACAGAGTACCTTCCACAGAAGCAGCCTGCCGGAGATGTGATAAATTAACTTCTCCCCACCCTGCTTCCTAAATGGAGACTGAGGCCTAACCCATAGAGTGCACCGTGTGCTGTGCGGTGGGGTCAGAGGTTGTCACAGACTTTGTCTAAAGGCCACAGGGCACAGTGGTGAAGAGGCTGGCCAAGGACCTGTCACCTCTCACAGGATATCTAGTCTGGGTCCAAAGGGCTCCACCCTGGGCTTTCATGTAGTCCTGGGCCCTTCGCTTGGGCCCACTAGTAATGGCAGTGCCCCAGTCAGGGAATGTGTGGCTTCTAGAGCGGATGCTGCAGGCCTATCTTTGATCACCAGGGACCACATGGGCCTTTAAGAGACCCTGTGTTGTTTCTTTTTGTGTGTGTGTGTGCGTGTTTTTTATAGCAATGGCTGTAAAAATATCAACCCAGAAAACCAGCTGCAGAAATTTCATAAGGAGGGACGAGGGATGAGGGGGTAAAGTAAGAGGGAAGATAATGCTGGGAGCTGTGGCTTGGAATGTTAGCTTGATCTTGCCACTGTGGCTTAGACCAGTGTCTCCTGCTGAAGCATCAGTTCTCCCAAAGCAGGCGCGTTTCTGTCCCATTCTCCACTGTATTCTCAAGGCTAGAGCAGTGCTTGCTACATAGTAGGCACCTGACAGTCATTTGAGGAATGAATGAATGGATGAATGAACGAATGAACGAGTGAATGAGCTGCTGATACTGTGTCCGGGGTGACCCAGCCTGTAGCAGCAGCTCTGTCACAGAGAGGAGCACAGACCCTGCTCCCGAGAGCAGCAGCCCCTGAGGAGCTGGTGTGTCTGTGTGACGCAGCTGGAGACCTGTGATGAGGGCCCAGGTGGTGATTTAGTGGACTCCACTTGTTGGTTTGTCTGGGGATTATACCAGGGCTCCCCTTGGTACCTCGAATGGAAATCAAAACAGACGCCTGTGTGCCCTGAGTGCTGAGTTTGTGGATACAGTCTCCTCGTGCCCTCCCCCGGATGACGGCAAAAGCTGTCCTGACAGCTGATGCAATTGCGGCCTCCACCCTGGCTCAAGTCCTGCCATCTCTCTTCTCCACCCCTGCAAGCGCTTGGGAGCAGAGCTCCCTGCCTCCACCAGCCCCCGTTCTGGTTCATGCTGCGAGTGCTGCGAAAGCTCTTTCTTAAGCACAGCTCTCACCTTGCCACTCCCAGGCTCCCTAACCTACCACAGCCCCCACACCTGCAGCACCAGTGAGCGTCCTTGGCACACCACACTGTTGTTTACGCTGACCCCTCCTCCTGTTGCTCATCTGTTCCATAATCGCTCAGAGAATGCCGACATTTGAGAGGCAAGAGGGTGATGCATAAGAGCTTGGACAGCTGGGCCACACTGCCTGGGTTCAGATCCTCGGGCAAGTGACTCTCCCTTCTTTCCTACAGAGGTTACCGGGAGGATGTGCAAAGTGCTCGGCACATGTTCAGTAAAAGCAAGCTGTTCCTTCTGACAGACAGCGTGCCCTGTGACCCGGGGATGTTAGACATAATTTTTGCCTTCAAGGAGCTTTGGGGTCTCCTGTGGGAGTCAGGAAAGTCAGCCATGATCACAGTGTGGGAAGTGTTACCAACAGAGGGAAGCCCAGGGTGCATGCGAGTACAGAGGAGTGGGGCCTCATAAAGTCCTGGAGGAAGGAAGGGGGGAGTGTCAGGAAGTGCCACAAAGACCATGAGATGCTTGTCAGGAACAACAAGTGGAGAGGCTGGGGCAGAGACTCAGCCAGAGGAAGCCACCTCAGCGCAGGCATGGGGACTGCACACGGGCTGGCCTGCCTGGAGCAAGGATGGGGGTGGTGCCGTTTGTAGGCCAGAAAGGCAGGCAGAGGCCAGATGGTAATGAATCTGAGAGACATGCTAAGGCATTGAACTTGACTCTGACAGTGATGACACGCAAAAGAGAGTATTATGACCGACTGGGTTTTCCCCCCAAAGATTCCTTTAGCTGCAATGTAGGGGACAGAACAGAGATGGGACAAGTTTAGCGACATGGAGACCAATGGGAAGGCTTTTGCCATCATCTCACTTAGATGAAGACCTGAGTTGAGGCAACGACCGTGGGAACGCAGACACACAGAATGTGGAATTGAGTGGAATTGGCAACGAGCTGTGTCTGGGGCCAGCGCACAGGACAGTGTCTAAGACAAGTAGAGTGCTCAACACTGATGTTACGGGTGCAACCAGTTTCCATTGCCACAGGTCGCAGCAGGTCAATTTGGTTTGTTAGACAGTGAGAAAGGTGTGGCCTGAGAATATGTGATAAAGGGTCCACCTCAGGAGGATTCTCCTGGTGAGACTGTGTGGGGGTGGGACTGAAAGGAGCACACGTGGGAGACCAAGACACCAGTTAGAACGAGGCCGAGCTAACAGTCCTGCATGACTCGATGAGGGTCTGCACCAGGAGAATGCTGATGGGAAAGCGAGGTCCAATCGGAGCGGAGCTGCCCGAAAAACAGACATGGCAACCAATTGGGTTTAGGTCCTGGGATCAGAGAGGTGAGAGAGGGCGGAACTAAAGACAACTGTTCGCACCCACATGCATGGGTGAGAGAAAGTGGAGCATGAATGTGGTTGACTCCCACTGCGGGCAGCCACTGGAGGGCCCAAGTGACACTGAGGAAAAGACCAACCTTTCCTGTGACACACTGCTGCACACACAGTTCACAGAAGGTGCTTATTCACTGTGTTACCCGAGTAGACCTGGCCTGGACAAGCAAGCAGGACCACCGACTCACCTGTGCAGAGCTCCTGTGGTAAGGGGCGTAGTGGAGTGGTCCAGAGATGGCTGCCTCGGGAGGGAGGGCCGGGTACTGGCTCTGCATTGGCGGAGGATGCTGGTTGCCATAGCTCCCATAGTTATAGCTTCCTGTGTATCTAAAATGCATTAAGCACAGTGACTATTGTGAGTAATAGCAGGAAGAACAGATCCGTTTGACATCTTCAAAAACCAACCTCCTCTGTTTTTTTCCTTTTTGTTCTCTTTTCTTTCTCCCATTTTTTTTTCCTGCCTTACCATGTCCACTCTGTAGCTTTGTTGTGGTAAGTTTAAACTCTCAGGTTGATTTTCCTTCTCCCTTGGGCACATCTCCCTTGCCACCCAGCAAGTGCTCAGGGAACAAAAGCTTGCCCTGAGCAAAACATAATTAGTGATGGAAATCTCTACTCCTGTTGTCTTAAAAAGCCCCATATGATATCCTGAAGTCAAATAGGAAAAAAAGAGGTTACTTTGGGATTTATGTTTTTGTGTTGTTCAGGCCTCTGCTTCCCCATGATGCAGAAGGGTGTGGTGCCTTCCAGGCGCTCTCTCCTGGGAGAAAACACCATGGCCTGGTCGACCAGGCCTCAGGGAGCCCAGCTCTCAGCCCGGCCCCACCACCTTCCAGCTGGGGGACCCTGGGCTCTCGGGCTCCTCACAGCCTCGTTTCTCCCATCTGTGAACATGCTGCACATGCTTATTCGGAGGGTCACATATGTGAAGACACTCCGTAAAAAAGACAATCCTACGTGCACATGGGATATTCAACTTTACAGCAAAGATGCTGACATGACCATGTGGGAGTCTATTCGGCCTTTCCTGCAGAATCAAAAAGCTCTCTGAGCCCTGGATGGTTTGTCTCAGTGGATGAAGTGTCAGCTTGAGGACTGAAGGGTCCCAGGTTCAATTCTGATTAAGGGCACATGCCCGGGTTGTGGGCTTGTCCCCAGTCGGGGGCATGTAGGAGGCAGCTGATCAATGATTCTCTCTCATCATTGATGCAATTAAAAAAAAGCTCTCTGAAATAATTATCAAGATCTATTCTAAATGTGTGAGGAAATACCCTAAGAGCCCCCTGAAAAATAATGGCTGCATTACAGATCGGTCTGGGGCACCTGAACCAAGGGAAATAGCTCAAGTACACCAACAGTCAGGCCTGCGCCTATCCTCAGGGTCACCACCTTGCTGCATTATGCTGGGCCACCCTGAGGAAGGGACCCGAGAGGTCCTCCTCCTCCTCCCCCTCCCCCCTACACCAACAAGGCCTGCGCCTATCCTCAGGGTCACCACCTTGCTGCATTATGCTGGGCCACCCTGAGGAAGGGACCCGAGAGGTCCTCCTCCTCCTCCCCCTCCCCCCTCCCCCCCCCCTGCCCCTTCCCCCCCCCCT